TGTGTCTTTGGGGTAAATACCCAGGAGTGCAATTGCTGGTCATAGGGTAGCTCTATTTTTAATTTTCTGAGGCACCTCCACACTGTTTTCCAAAGGGGCTGTACCAACTTGCATTCCCACCAACAATGTAAGAGGGTTGCCCTTTCCTCACAATCTCTCCAACATTTGTTGTTTCTTGATTTGTCAATTTTTGTCATTTTAACTGGTGTAAGGTGGTATCTCAATGTGGTTTTGATTGAATTTCCCTGATGGCTAATGATGATGAACATTTTTTCATGTGTCTGTTAGCCATTTATATGTCTTCTTTGGAGAAGTGTCTGTTCATGTCTTCTGCCCATTTTTTGACTTGATTATTTGTTTTTTGGGTGTTGAGTTTGAGAAGTTCTTTATAGATCTTGGAAATCAGACCTCTGTCTGTAGTGTCATTTGCAAATATCTTCTCCCATTCTGTGGCTTGCTGCTTTGTTTTGTTGACTATTTCCTTTGCTGTGCAAAAGCTCTTTATCTTGATGAAGTCCCTAAAGTTCATTTTTGCTTTTGTTTCACTAGCCTTTGGAGATGTATCTTGAAAGTATACCATTCTTAAGTGCACAGCTCATTGACTTTTTTCTTTTAAACCCAAGTTTGTTGAGGTGTAATTTACATAAAATGTATCTATTTTTTTTAAAAAAAATATTTATTTTAGTGAGAGAGGGAGAGAGAGAGAGAGAGAGCATGCACACAAGCAGGGGGAGGGGCAGAGGGAGAGGAAGAATCCCAAGCAAACTCTGTGCTGAGTGCAGAGCCCCACACGGGGCTCAATCCCAGGACCCTGAGATCATGACCTGGGCCAAAATCAAGAGTCAAATGTTTAACCGACTAAACCACCCAGGTGCCCCGAAATGCATCCGTCTTAAGTGTGCAATTCAAAGAGTTTTGACAAAATCACCCACTGAAGCCCCATCCAGATTAAGATACAGATTTCCATCCCCTAGAAAGTTCTTTTCTATTGCTTCAATAAGCCAACCCATCCGTCTCCCCATTATAGCCTCTCAACTGAATTCTATTACCTTAGATTAGATTTGCCTATTCTTGAACTTCATATAAATGGATTCATGCTGTGTGTTTTCTTTGGTGTCTGGCTTCTTTTGCACAACATAATGTCTGAGATTCATCCATGATCTAAGTATTGGTAGTTCGCTTTTTATACATTGCTGAACAGTATTCTATTGTAAGAATATACCACAGTATATTTATTCACTTTCTTATTGATGGACAGTTGGGTTGTTCCATGAATAAAACTGTTATAAATATTCTTGCATATATCTTTTATAGTCAATGTTTGCACTCATTTCTCTGTATCTAGCAGTGGGACTGCTGGGCAGTAGAGTAGGTTTAGCCTTTGTGCGTACTGCCAAATTGTTTTCCAAATTATTGTACCCAATGAGAATTCCAGTTGCTTCATGTCCTTGCCAACATTTGGCATTGTCAGTCTTTTCAATTTTAGCTATTCCAGTGGGTGTGTGGTTCTGCCTCAGTGTGATTTACTGTATTTCTCTGATGACTAAGAGTGTCGAGCCACTTGGACATTCTCTTTCATGAAGTACACGTTCAAGGCTTCTGCTCATTTTCAAGTGGAGCTGTTTGTCATCTTCACTCTTGGAGTTGAGAGCTCTTTATTCTGAATAGGAGATCTTTGCTAGATGTACATAAAGCAAATGTCTTCTAAGGTTTGGCTTATCTTTTCACTCTAGTATTGGTACCCTTTGATGAACAGAGTTCTTAATTCTAATGAGGTCCAACTGATGGTGGTTTTGTTTCATGCCTTCTAGGTTTCTCTTGAAGGATCCAATAAATTGAGGTGGAAGAGATTGGGGGAATATATGACTATGGGTCACTCTGACTTTACCTTGAGACCCAAGGGGGGATCATAGCTCATACCTCCTGTCAAGGACCTCAATCTCCTGGAAAATATTCAGCCTTTCCTATCCTCCCCTCAGAAAGGCTGGTCCAGGGAGTTTCTATAAACCTCTACCCAACTCCTCATCCTCCAGCCTGATTTCTCCTTGACCTAAGAGTCTTGGCCTCTCTGGGGGCAGGAAGGGGTGCAGCTTCCCCCTAGTTTCAGCTCCCATCCCCTCCCCACCAGGGGCCTCACCTGCTCCAGCATGTCCTTAGCAAGGTCCTCCTGTTCATCCATCTTCAAGATGGCCTGCCGGATCTCCTCATTAGAAAGCTTCAACCTAAGGCAAAACACTGCCCCTTGAGCCTGGCCCCTCTGCTCAGGACAGACCCCAGCCCTTCTCCTCCCCTGCATTCTCTCCCTCATGTGAACATGGGAATATATTCCTTAGTGCTCCCCCCTTACTTCCCCTAAACTTATATGGTTCACTCCATAAACTAAATAATGAGATATTTCAGTCTCTAAGTATAGACTTGAATCTGGTGTCTTGCTTGAGTCTCTGTCATAACTGATAGGGACATTTGAAAAGGTCCATCTTTAGTGTAGACAGAAAGACAGGGTAAAATGTTTCTGATCCTTCTCCTCCTTATGCCTAAAATATCTACTGCATCTCCATGGGAGGATGGGAATATCAGCAGGCCATGAAGGGGGCCGTTTCCTGCTTCCTTCATTGTCAGAAGATAGAATAGCTCTCAGTCTTCTGATAGTGCCTCAGCTCCCACACAGCTGTTCCCATACGTCTTGCTGTCTGGGTGATGGAGAAGCCACCCCCCTCCACAGACACACACACAGACATACACACACACACAGCCCTTCCCTATCCCCTCCAGATGCACACCACTTGGATCCCTGGAGATACAGAATTCTCTCTCACCTTCAAGAGAGAGAAACTGAGGCCTGGGGCCTGGGGGAAGAAAGGTGAATGGATGTCCCAGAGATGGCTAGGGCAGCACTAAGAAAACTATGGGTGGTGGTGCCCTCTGACCCTGGCTCAGGCAGGAGGCCTCGCACAGAAGCTGTGCTGTTAGCGCAGATACTGCCCTGTTTGTTCTGCAGCCACGGGAAATGCTTGGGGGCTGAGATCATGCTGCTCTGTGGCCTAAGCCTAGTGGGGCCCTCCATGGGCTTAGAGCAATTCTGTTGCCAGATGATGACCAGGCTGGTCAGGGATGTCGTGACTGGGGCAGTTTTCTGTTGGCAGAGCCCCACACTACTGCTGAACGTGGGGTCCCAAGAGAGGGTTCTAGATCAGTGGTTTCCTACCATTCCCAGGGGACAGCAGGGGAAGTGAAGAGACTGCTGTCACCCATTCCTCTGCCACCCCTGTCCCCCAGACATTCAGTTCCACTGTAGGTTTTTGCTCTAGCCCTCTCAGGGCTCTACTTTCTTGTTGGGGGGGTTCATCCCTCCCACCAGGGGCTAACAAGGCAGGACAAGCACATACTTAGAGAGAAGGATGATGCAGTTCTGAGCCCTTCGGCCGTCAATGACTGATAGCTCTTTGACCTTGCGGGAGGCCAGGTAGATGTCCTCTGTGGAGCCCAGCTCTTTCTAAAACCAACAAGCCAAGTAAAAAGGTTGAGGCATGCGTGTGTTCCCCAATCCTCTCCTTACCCACCCCCCAGAAGCCACTCCCACACCAACCACAGGATGTTCCTGGTGTGAGGGGAATAAAGATGGAAAGAAAAAGACAGGAGAGAGAGAGAGGAAGGTGGTTAATAACCATCTCTACTAGAAGGCATCTGGGACTTTACCATGGGCTAGAATGGGTTGGGGGCAATGAAGAGCCCCCTTTTTTAAAGACTGCCCTTTCTGGACAAACTAGAGAAGGGACTGTTCCAGTGGGGGAACTGATCCCTATGGCTTTGGGCACTGTTATGGTCCCCAGCATCCCAGAAAATCAACCCTCACTCCACCACCCTACCCGGAGAGCTTCCCCAAGCTTATGATGAGAAGCTGGTTTGAAATCCCCATCAGGCTACAGTTCCTGGACTCCTGGGTACTTCAAGCACAGCCCAATGTGCCAGAGTAGAGGGCATCCACAAGTCCAGAGGTGGGGAAACTGAGGCAGAATTCCATGAAGAATTATCTTCACTGGGGTTCCAATAGCAGATTCCCTCAAAATCAGATTCCTTCCCTTCTCTTGGGCCCTTGGTGAGATAGACAGGAAACTAGTTTTTACCCTGGGAGGTCCCTCCAAGCACATGCTCCCTATTGCACAATTCCAGAGGCTGCCATTTCACATCATTATCCTTGTGAATTGTACCCTTGGGATTGTGCAGTGCCCAGCCTATGCAGTCTTATAGGATGGCTTTGCCTTGGGCCAGGTAGATAAGACAATAGACCTAGAAGCTTTCTCCTTAATCCAGTAGACATTCACCTCCATTGCTGGTAGGGGTCTGTTTGAATTACTTCCCTCCTCTACATTTCTGCTTTCTCTTTGGGAACCCTTTCCTGTGTTGCTTATAGGGATGGGTCATAAAGGTAGAAGGCAGAATGAATAAGCCCTCTCTTTTGACCAGTACAGGGCAGCAGCCCAGGACAGTGGTTAGAAGTTAGAGTGTCCAGAGCCCCAAGAGTGACTCACCTGCTGAGAAGGATTAGTTATCAGCTCCTAGGCAGGTAGCAGCCACAGCCAACAGAGAATTAAACATGCACAACGTTAGCCAAGAGGTTCAGGGACCCCAGGGACAGTAGGAGAGACATGGAGACGCCTGAGCATTTACTCTGTCTACCCCATCCCAATGAGACCCACATGGTTGGAGATGGAGACTAACAATTAGCCCTGGACAGGAGGTGCTTTTAGCAGACATGCACTCACAGAGAAGCCACAAAGTGGGGAGTAGACAGGTCCCCTGCCTGCCCTGGGCCCAGTGGGACCACCACTCCCCAGTTGGAGCAGGCCCGGCCCCCAAGCTTCCCAACCCCAGGCCTTGGCTGCTATTCTTCCCTCTTCTCTGTTGGGAAACTGCCCAGAGGGCAGAGAGCATTTCTCTCTGCTGGATAACTTCATCTTTCTAAATAGAAGAGGAGATACAACCAGAAGGGGCCAGAAACATGCAGAAGTTGCATTCATTGAGGCAAATAAAAGCAGGTGTCCCCAAATTTCACCTCTTTCCCTTTGTCTTTTGATTTCCAAGGGAGTTAAGGGGACAGAGCCCACACCCAATTCTCCCTTTCGGACCCTGATGGAGTTGAAGTCACTAACGCAGGAGCTGCATAGGACATAGAGGGAAGATCACAGCTCATAGGACCTTCCTCCCCACCAAAACATGCACCCTGGGACCCAAGATAGGAAGAGGAGGTCACCAGGGGCCAGGGCCACACAGCCTCTGGAATCTTTCAAGCTCTGCTGCTGTGAATTCAGCCCGAGTCTGGGAGAATCACCAAGTGACAATAGTCTGGTTGAGCCCAGCCCCGAAATAGGGGGTTAACAGAGGAGACAGGGGACAAAAGGGGACTTTCCACCTTAACACTTCTCCAGCCACCAAACTGAGAGGCCCCAAACCCAGTCTGTTCTAAACCCCATAACCCCTCTTTTCCCCACTGGACCCCATCCTAACCCCAACTCAGGGCACAGAGACTGGGTGGGGTGGCCTGGAACCCTGGCCAAAGAAAGACTCTCCAACTAGGGGGAGGTGTGTGATTGACCATGCCTGATACACCCCTTGCACATGCTCCCTCCATCCCACTTGGGAGCATCAGTGCATAGGAGCACCAAGGACTCAGAAGAACCCCTTCCCACTCCATTAGGCCACAGCTGCTGCCAACGGCCATGCCAGCCTGATACGGGCAGAGGCTAAAAATGTTGTCTGGAATTAGGGTAAAGAATCAGATACCTTGAGCACCTACATTTAAATTAAATAACACTCGTCTGGTTTTTCTAGAATCCCAAGTCAGGATTAGAGCCCGGCCGGAACTCTGTCCCTTTGGCTAGGCTCCTAAGAGGAGTCTCATGTGCCCTCAGGAAGGATTGTCCACAGGCCTGAACTTGGCAGAAAGCAGTGGGGAGCCCAGCCACAACAGCCCTGCTACCCAGGGCCCAGGAAGATGCAGACCCCACTCACTGGCACCTGGGGTATCCTCAAGTGCTGGCACCCTGGGCTCAGCAGAGGAGATTGGAGAAAGTGGCACAGTATGGAAAAGAAATGACCCTCAGAGGGAGACCAGAGAGAACACACTCTAAAGCCTCGAGGCTGGGAATGTCCAAACTGGACTTGGGGGCAGGGCCCCAGATGTGCTAGCTACAGAGCAGATTCCTCAGCCCTGACTCATCTTCCGACTCACATTCATGCGAGGATGAGGTATGAGAATCAGCACATTTGGCAATCCCCACTGGCACTGCCTCGGGAATGCCCTGTGTTCTGCCACCCTCCCGCTCCTCCTACTGCTGCTGGAAGAGTAGGCTGACTGGCCAGCCATTTGTAAGCAGTGTCTGCAGAGCAAAGCCCAGGGCTCTCCCAGCCCTGCCCAGGCCCAGACCCAACCTTAACCCCTGAACAAGACCTGGAGCAGCTCCATCTTCCTAGAAACATTGACATCCTCAGCTAACTGACTCGTGGGGGTGTTGGGAGAGTATGGTGGAGAAAGCAGTTTGAAATTTATCATGCCTGCTAGGTGTAGTCTCTAGATCCTGGGGTCAAAGAGAGAACAGAGGTCAACAGTGGCCAGGGCTGTGACTCCACCTCCAGTGCTCCAAGATGAAGGACAAATGGACAAAATGCTATTCCATCATTCAGTGTGTAAATACACACAACTGTGTGCCAGAACTGGAATACAACAGGATATTTCCCCTACTGCACTGCATACCTCTAATTCTGATCCGTGTACCTAGCAAAGCATGGTACCTAATAAGGAATAAAATCATTCAGTATACCTGGGAGGAAGGGAGGGAGAAAGAAGAGGTTGAGGGTTGGGTTCAAGGGGCATAGGTGAAGTCAAAACTGGAAGTCAAGACCCAAGAAGATGGGGGCAGGGAAAGGTCTTACCTGGTGCCTCTGATAAGCTGAAAACATTTTTTCAAAGTCCTCTAGGTCCAGAATCCTAAATACCTGCATGTCATCAATCTCATTCCATACAGTGCCAGGGACACGTTCCTAAGATTCAGGACAGGGAGAAGACCCAATGTTTGACTCAACTCCTTCACGATGGAGAGGTCCAATGCCTCCCTAACTCCACCTGTTCCCAGCTGCACAAACTACAATAGTCAGGCTTTCAGGCCTTCAGAAAGGGGTCAATTCGTCTCCCCCAAACCTTCAATACATTGTTCCAGGGCAGAGGCCAGAGACAAGCTCCTTGTCCTCCCTTTCTCATGGGGCCACATAGACGTGTGTTCCAGAAATCAAATGGAGGGCAAGAGTGATGGGTAGGCAAGTATGAAAGAGGGTATGAAACTCCTTCCTGAAAAACAAAACCAAACCAGTGTTCTCAGGGCACAGTCCCTAAATGTCAGGGTTGGCTAGAGTCACTGCAATGAATAGTGCCCACACATATTTGAGATCCTCAGATCCTCAGTGCACACTATATTTCCCGTATCTGAGATTGTCATTTTCTCTCCCATGGGGTCTTCCTCCCACTTTCCCAGATTCGCAGAAAGTGGACAACTGCCAAAGCCTGGGACATCCTGGCCCCTAGAATGACTGTTCAGGCCAACAAGACTGCCACAACTTCCTGTTGGTCAGACCCAAGGAAAGTGGCTTATCCCTCATGGTTGGGATGTGTCCAAGGGTTTACATTCCAAGGTTTCTCCACCTAAGCACTGCCCCACCTCTGTGTGGGACCCTGGCACTGAGCCCCCACTCCAGGGAGAGGCTCCTTCAGCAAAGCCAAGAACACCCCAGTGGTCTTCTAGCACCTTGACAGTGGCCCAGAGGGCAGAGAGCACAGCCTCTTCAGGGTACTCACTTCTGTGCTCCCAGGAGTCCTTGCCTCATCCTGAGCTTTGCTGTCCTTTAAAATGGAATCTCCCACCTTCCTCTGCCTAAAGGGCAGCTGGGGAACCTTCCTAAGGCCACGACCCCCTCCTCCCTCCATTTCCCCCTCAGCAAAGCTTAGAGAGAGAAACATACCTTTCACTCACTTTTATTTTCTTAAACTCTGGAAAGGGGAGGCTAGGCCAGAGCAGAGTGGGGGGGCATTCCTGTGGCCTTTCTAAGGCCAGGGACCCTCTTGTGGAATGCCGGGCTGGGAAGCTCAGAGCAGCAAGGGATACAGGCAACTGGCCAAACCCAACACAGACACATTCTTTTCATGGCAGAAACAACCACTGTGTGTGTGTGTGTGTGTGTGTGTATACACAGGAGCATGCGTGGAGTAGGGGAAGGGGACAGGGGAAAGAAGCCAGGCCCCTGGAATGGGGTATGTGGGAGGCAGAGAGAAGATGTGAGGGGGAACTGAACAGGAAAGCAGGGAAGGAAAATCTCTCAGTGGTTCCCATCTGAGTCTAGACCTGGGGTGGAGGTGGGCTCCATGGGAAATCCCACACAGGTAAAGCTTGCCACTGTTCTTTACTCCCAGTGAGGCCAGGCTAAGAAAGGGCTGGAATGTGAGAGCTGGATGGTTAACACTAGGGAGAGTTTCCCCTGAGAGAATGGACTGAGTGCCCAGCTCTCCCACCCTTCTTGCCAAATGCCACCCCATCCCCATATGCAGCCCTTCATGGAGGTATAGCTGAGCTCTGGAGCCAGCTGAGCACTGGAGCCATAATCCATTTCCTAGTATTCTCCACATCCTACACTTCACCAAGTTGCCCTGATGTGCCCAGCGTGTAGAATGATCCTGACTTTAATTTTTGCATCACTCTAGCCAAAACCTCTTCACCTCCAGTCTAGATCCCTGGGACTTCTGCCCTCTAGAGACACCCTTTATATGCCAGAGAAATCTTTCTCCAAAATACCTTTCATTGTGTTTCTCTCACTGAGCATTTGGAGTCCAACAGAGCAAGCTAGCTTTCACTCCCAGCCTCATCACTATGTGGGACTGTTGGCAAATAGAGGGGTACTATTCTCTTCTCATTTCACATAAAAGAAAGCAGAGTCTCAGTGATGCTTGCTTACTGAGTTGAAGGATTAGGTGAGATAACACACTTAAGGCACGCATGGTTGTGCCACAAATAACTCACCTAATATTATTACGAATTTCTGTGTTAGTCACTATTCCAAATACTTCATATGTCAACCCTCACAATGATCCTTTGATATAGATGCCATAATTACCCCAATTTTATAGAACAGGAACCTGATGCCCAAATGATTAAATAACTCCTGGTCACGTGATTAAAAGCTTGGGAGTGGGCTAATAGGTCCACAAATATTATTCAATCCCCCCCACCCACCCCTGCTGAGAAATGTCTACAACTCCCACGAATCCTCCCCATTACCCATTCTATCAGACCTGTATTTTCCAGTCCAGGAATGAAACTCTGGCCTGCTTTGGGTCCCTGAGGAATTTATATAGATTTTATTATTACTAGACCCCAGTGAAAATCCTAAGTACAAAGCTCTATTTGATGAGAATGTTGCAAAAATATTAGTTGCCTTGTCTGTTTTCCTTAACTGTTGAGGTGCCTAATCAACTTTTCATTACCTTTTAAAATTTTTCAATTATACAAAAAGGCAACCTACTGAATGGGAGAAGATATCTGCAAATTTTATATTCGGTAAAAGGCTTAATATCTAAAATATATAAAGAACTTACACAACTCAACACCAAAAAAAAAACCTTAAATAATCCAATTAAAAAATGGGCAGAGGACCTAACTATGCATTTTTCCAAAAAAGACATACAGATGGCCAACAGACAAATGAAAAGATGCTCAACATCATCAGGAAAATACAAATTAAAACCACAATGAGATATCACCTTACACTTGTCAGAATGGCTAAAATCAAAAAGACAAGAAATAACGAGTGTTGGTGAGGATGTGGAGAAAAGAGAACCCTTGTGCGCTGATGTCAGGAATGCAAACTGGTGCAGCCACTATGGAAGACAGTATAGAGATTTCTAAAAAATAAAAATAAAAATAGAAATACCATACCATAGCGTAACATATAGAGTTGTAAAACCACTATGCTGTACACCTGAAACTAATGTAACATTGTGTCAACTATAATAAAAAAATTTAAACTTTTTTCTAAAAGAAAGCAAAAAAAAATCTTTAAGTTTTAAGTACAGGAGATAATTTTTTTTTTTTACCACAAAGAAGTATATATATTATTTCTGATCATGAACAGTGAATGTTTCCACACAGACTGTGGCCTTTGGTTCTGCAGAGCTGTTTGTCCGCTTGCCTCATGACTGTGGGGAAGGACACACAGGGCGCAGCTGTGCAGTGCAGTTGTCACAAATGTCAACCATGTGGCTTCAAAATTCTGATAACAGGTGGCTCTAAAATTTTACCAACTTAGATTGGAGATGTTATCAGAAGCTCAGGAGACTGTGGGCTATATTCATGCTTTGTCTTTCCACCTTGATTATAAAACCAGAGATAGAAGGAATCTTAGAAATCTCACAGATGAGCAAACTCAGGTACAAAGTGAGTGATTTATGTAGGTGGCACAGTTTATCAGAGCCAAACCTGGTTTAGTTAAAGGTTAGAACGTCCCCTTCAATCCCTCCCTAGGATCTCTAGATGTTTCCTTGAACAAAATTCCTAATTTGCCAGATTCAAAGCTCTTACACAGCAATGCTTTGTTTCACCTCTTATTATTATCCATCACAACCCCCAGCAAAAAGCTTTACACAAGGCAGCCCTCAGACTGACTGGCTAGCTGGTCTACCATTATGAGAGCCAGCTAAACACATAGCTGGCCACCTATTTCACAATTTCACATCTCTTCCCTTGAGTCTCCATCTGAGCTCATTTAAGCTTGCATAGAATGGTACAGTTATGAATTCCCCAAGAGTTAGACCAAGAGGTTCATACAACAAGGTCAGAGGACATCCATTAGTCCCAGCTCCAAAATGATGTCTGCATGGCTGCTGCTGAATTGTGTGTATGGATCAGGCTAATTGAACTCAGTTACGGTGTATGTGTAAACCTCAAGGACAAAGCCACAGGTCCTACTACAGTTTAGTACAGAACCAGAGGCAGGGCTTGACCCAGGCTGGAACTGGCCTTAAATTACTAGCAGTCTAAAGGAACCCAGGTTATCTCTACTCCATGCTCGTGAGAGTCCAACGTGTGAGAGGAATCTCACACGTGGACCTGGGTTTGGTGGTTATTGTGAATAATATTCATGAGGCCCTCTCACTGCTGAGCAGTCTAGAAAAGTACCCAGTGTGTCTACCTTCCCCCCAGGAGGATGCCAAAATGACTACATCTTGACATCCAATTCTTCATGGCAAGGGTGCTGTCCTGTCCCCTGCCATGGCTTCATCATTTCAGTCCTTTGAACACACTGCTCTGATCTTTACCATCTCTAGACCTTGGTCCAAGTTCTTTGCCTATATCTTCCACCCTTTTCCTCAAATAGACCCTACCCTTAAAATTCTAGCCCAGCCATTCTATTGTCTAGAAAGTGACCCTGCTTCGCCCATGCTCTGGTATCAATATCACTCCATTAACCCTCAGCACATACAAATTCTGTCTGCAGGTGTCTTTGCCAATGTGAGCCTTAGCACATGCCAAGCTATTTCCTCCCATTGTAGATGTTCTTCCCAGTGAACAGTGAGCTGTCTGACATCAGCAATCCCATCTTCTGCATTTACTATGCTTTCCCTTATCCCCACCAAAGAAGGAACCCAGAAGGGGCAATCTACAAACAATGAGCAGGCAATCCATGGGGCTGACTGGCACTGGCTATAGGAGAATAGACCTACTGATCTTTTGTTACTTACCTCATTCAGCTTGACCCAGTTGAAGGACTTCAGTGGATGGGAAGGCTGGGGAGCACACTTCTTCCTGAGTGGGATGTCATTGCTGGGGCAGGGGTCTGGAGGGAGAGGCAGGCCCATGCTGAAGCACGGTGGGGCACCGGGGGGAGTGGGAGGCCCACCAGGTGGAAGAGGTGGTGGTGGAGGTGGAGGACAGCAGGCAAATGGGAGAGGGGGCGGAGGTGGAGGCAGGTCATTGGTTGTCATTGAGGAAGACAAGGTAAGTGGGCCCCCAGGGGGAGGTGGGGAAGATACAGGTCCTGTCTGTGGGAAGACAGAAAAATTGAAAAGACAAAGCTATCAACAATGACGCCTTTCAGGTCCCCACCACACTATTTCTTTCCTTATTCTTATTCTTCATTTACACTAGAACCCCAATCCTGCTCTCACCTCCCACACACATTTTGCTCCCCCATTTCCTCTCTGTATCCCGAACATCCAACATACACATAGACACAACCACAGCCACATACACATAGGTAAAACACACATACATAACACTGGACAAAGTCATAGTTATCACAACGCAACAGCAGGAGCGATACATATGGTTGTGTAGGCTACTGTCTGCACAAGGGCATCCAGCTGCAAAGGGAGGGGTGTGCAAAATCATACTTGCACTCTGCTTTCCCAGGTGTGCTTCCTGGGACAGTGTCACCCAGGAGAAAGGGCACTGGTTTTTCTAACTAACACAAAGGTAGCCACCTTTACAGCCTCACAGTTCCCCTCTATCCTGGCCTGAGGTCCTCCTCTAACTTCTCCTTCATCCTGGGGTCCTTAGCCCTTCCCCACACCTGTTCTTCCCACTTTATCCTGAAGGTCTCAGCTCAATATGTAAAGAGAGGAAGGTGTCCACATACTGAGATTTCACTGAGTTGGGCTACCAGTTCTGCCACTTGTCCTCGAGCCTGGCGCAGGTCCTGGGACTCTCGGGCCAGTTTATCCTTCATCTTGTTCAGTGTCCGCATCATCTCTTCCTTCTCCAATGTCTTTGTCTCACATTCTCGCTCCTTCCTCTCTAACTTGCTCACCAGCTCCATGTGTTCTGGGATGGGGGTGGGACAGGAGAGGAAATGGGAAGAGACAATATGAATCTGTGTGTGTCTACCTCTAATAGGTCCCAGGCTGGGCAGCGGGGAGTTGTACGGAGCATGCAGTGGCTTTAGGCAGAGCCCCTTACCTTTCCGGAACTTCTCTGCCTGGTCTTGCCACTGTTTCACTTCATTCTCATTGATGAGCCTGGTGGGGAGTACAGGAAGGGTCTGTTGATTGTTGGCTCATAACTTCCCAGAAGACATATCATCCCCCTATTCCCCACATCGGTTCTGTGATCTCCAATCTGTCCAGCCACATCAAGGAGGCTAGGATTTTGACTCTCCAGATGTCTCTCCAGGTCCCCAGCCCTGCCCAGTTCTCGTGTATCTCTCTGTGGACTGTGAAAATTGAAAAGATCCTTAAATAACTTATGATCCAACCCCTTGTGATATAGTTGAAGCTCTTGAGACCAGAAATGAAGACAACAGCTTAACTAATGGTAGAACTAGGACTAAATCTCAGGCTTCCTTTAGTTGTCTGATGACTTGTACTCCCTTGTAAAAATAAGTTTTTTGCACTGAGATCAAAATATAGACCCTACCATGGTCTAGGCTTCCAAAGACCAATGTGTAAGAGCAAGAGAAATCACCCACCTCACAACACAGAATGAGTATGTTGAGGGTGAAGAGGGAAATGTATCTAAATCACAGGAAGTCCTCACTCATGTCAAACTCTTGGAATGGGGATTAAGCTATTACCTAGACACCAAAGTGTAATAGAGATGAAATCCCAAAGTGAGATCCCAATAATTGGGCTTTTTGTTTGTTTTTGTAACTCTGAAAATGTGGGAGTTAGATCCATGAATCTTGGCCTCCTCAATCACATCAAGGATATAAAGAGGGGACAGAGTATGGAAAGGGACATAATTTGTGCAGAGAGTTCTTTGGAGAGAGCCATTGCTGTCCTTCTTGGAGGTGCTACCTCCTTCATCATCATCCACTAGCTTCTTTGGACCACTCAGAGTTCTGACCCACATTCCCTGATGTTGGGAGGGAGGCATGGTGGACTAGGGTCCAACTTGGGGCCAGGCAGGTCCAAAGAGTGAAGAAACATTAACTGGGAGAGTGGTGCTGTGCTGGGACCATCCAGCACTCCTAGAGTTTGTTGGTACAGAGATTGCACAAGGGTTTTTCATGGACCAGATGTAAGCATCATGGAGAAATTGGGCTGATGCCATTTTAAGTCCTTTCCAAGATGTCCACCTGGCAGAAAATTGGACACTTGGACATTGTGCCATTGTGCACTAGATTGCTAGTGAATCAGGAGCTGATGGAAGGGATGGTACCAACCAGTCTTAGGGGATAAAAAGGCCTTGAATGGCCAGTGACCAGGGTTTTATAGTGAGAGGCATGCAACAAAGAGCTTCAGAAGATCCCAGAAATAATTCATGTCTTTACCTTTGTGCCAAGGCCAGAGAATAGGAAGCCTGTTTACTAGGTTACCTAATCAAGTAACACCTTTTCCCCTTCTCCTTCCTGCCCCTGCACTGCCTCTGATAGAGATTAAAAACTGGTTAGCTAATAGAAGGGGATATGTGTGTAGAATGGGTTAGAAGAAAAACAGAACAGAGAAAGAAAGCCAGTCATCACAAATGCCCTTCCCACTGCACCATCCAGCCCCAGTCCAGGGAAGAGAGAGATTTAAGGCTAAATCAAATCTAGAATTCACATGGTTCACATCTGAGACTAGTCCTTCTAGTTGCAGATTTAAGACTATGTTGATGGCTTAAAATGATCTTAGGACTTCCATTGCCCAAGAAGAAGCAAAAACTTCATTGGACCTGAGGCATTTTCATCCTCTGGCAGAGAAAAAGCTTCCCCACTAAATAGTGTAAAGAATTAGTAGAAAACAGAAATAAAAATCAGAAATAAAGCTGCATTTTGATTACTTTGCTAGTTGCACTTGTCCAGCATACCAGGTAGGATTAACTACATCAATACCCAACTACTTGTGCAAATGAAAACAGTAGCATGAATAGTTCAAAAATCATTTTCTACCTGGCTTTGGAATGTGACACCATGAATACTTAAGAGCCAATTTATCTCGTTAAAGGGCAACTGTACATTTACAGCAGCATTATTTACAAAAGCCAAGATATGGAAGCAGCCCAAGTGTCCATCCATTGGTGAATGGATAAAGAAGATGTGGTGTATTTATACAATGGAATATTATGCAGCCCTAAAAAGAATGAAATCTTGCCATTTGCAATGACATGGATGGAGCTAAGCAAAATAAGTCAGTCAGAGAAAGGCAAATACCATATGATTTCACTCATAGAAGGAATTTAAGAAGCCAATCAAATGAGCAAAGGAAAAGAGAGAGAGAAATCAAGAAACAGACTCTTAGCTATAGAGGACTAACTGATGGTTACCAGAGGGGAGGCGGGGCAGAGGGATTGGTGATATAGATGATGGGGATTAAGGAGTGCACTTGTCATGATGAGCACCGGGTGATGTATGGAATTGTTGAATCACTACATTCCACACTTGAAACTAAAGTAACACTATAACTGGAAATTAAAACAAAAACTTAAAAAAGAAAGCTAAGTGAAATAAGTCAAGCAGAGAAAGTCAATTATCATATGGTTTCACTTATTTGTGGAACATAAGGAATAGCATGGAGGACATTAGGAGAAGGAAGGGAAAAATGGGGGGGGGAATTGGAGGGAGAGATGAACCATGAGAGACTACGGACTCTGAGAAACAAAGAGGGTTTTAGAGGGGAGGGTGGAGGGGGGATGGGTTAGCCCAGTGATGGGTATTAAGGAGGGCATGTACTGCATGGAGCACTGGGTGTTATATGAAAACAATGGATCGTGGATCACCACATCAAAAACTAATGATGTATTGTATGGTGACTAACATAACATAATAAAATTTAAAAATAAATAAATAAAAATAAGTGATTTTATTTAAAAAAAGTTAAGTAAAAGTTTAAAATTAAAAATTAGTGTATTAACATAACTTCTGATAATTGATGTGACTTTAAACTTGCTTCTCTGTATTTCTTAATACACAGGGTCAAAGATAAGCCAGACTTAGGCTCTGACATCCTTATCCAACAGTCTTAGTTAATTACCATGCTCTATTTCAGTGATAGCAAACTTTCTCTAAAGGTTTAGAATAACTATTTTAGGTTTTATATGCCAGGTACAGTCTCTGTCACATATTCTCATTTGTTTTTAAAAACTTTTAAAATGTAAAAACTATTCTTAGCTCATGGGTCATACAAAAGCAAGCTGGAGGATTGTTTAGCCCACAGACCATTGTTAATAAGTTTAAATTCTTCCTCTATCTACTCCATGCAATGGATCATTAAAAGCTGAGTACAGGGGCACCTGGGTGGCTCAGAAGGTTAAGTGTCTACCTTCAGCTCAGGTCATGATCCCAGGGTCCTGGGATCGAGTACCACTTCGGGGTCCCGGCTCAGTGGGGAGTCTGCTTCTCCCTCTGCCTCTCCCACCCCCCAGTTTGTGCTCTCTCTTTAGCTCACTCTCTCTCTCAAATAAATAAATAAAATCTTAAAAAAAAAAAAGCTGAGTACACCCCCTATAAACCTGTGGTGTTCAATATGGTAGTCACTAGCCACGTCATATCACTATTTGAATTTAATTAAAATGAAATAAAACTTTAAATTCAGTTCCTCAGTCACACTATCCACATGTCAAGTGCTCAGCAGCCATGTGTAAACAGGGCAGATATGGAATATCTCCATTATCTCAGAGGATTCTATTGGACAGGTGCATTTGGAGACTTCTGGTTTATGAGAGGGAGCAGAGGTTTCACTGGTAAGAGTCCATGCAGGAGATCGAGAGGGAAGGAGGAGGAAGACAGGTGAGAGCTGGCCACTGCTCACATGTTGACAATGTTCTTGACGTTGAAGTTCTCCAAGGGAGCCAGGTCAGGGTCCACACCCCTCTCATCCTGGAGGACAATCTGTTGAAGGATCCGGTCCAGGAGCTGCCACTGCTGGAAATAGCCACCGTTCCGCTTGTCTGCGAGGACAACAGGCATCATAACTTCACTGAGCCCTGGAATCCCCTGGTGCCCTGCCCTAGAGCCACTGCCTGGGCCCAGGCTGATGAAGCATGCCCTCTCCCTCCCTTCATAAGCTCCCAGTCTGATGGGGGAGGCAATGATGCTACTGATGCAGATGCTGATGATGGAGATTTGCAAATGCGATCATTTCCTAATGATCTGCAACTAACTTTCTATGAGTGTGTCAATCCTCTAGACACATTTCTCTACTCCCTGAAGTGCTTCCTGGCTGCCTTTCTTCCCTATAGGTACCCTGAGTAGCCTATGCCTTGGGAATGCAAATTGCCTTTTCCATTATCTAAAAAAAGCAGCTTTCAGAAAGTAAATCTGCTCCAAAATATTACCTGCTAAATAATGAAGTCTCCAGGGAAATTTAAAAAAAGAAAATGTTTTAGGATTATCTATGCTGTTGTTCTACAGTGAAAGGTGAATGGAAACTCACTACAGGTATGCAATAAGAGAGAGTCGGAGTTGGAGTTGGAGTTGGGTTGGAGAAGTGCTAATGGAATCCAGGCAGACTTCTCAGTGAAGGTGACCCTGTACTGTGAAGGCAAAAGTTTGTGTGTGTTTCCTGACCTCACAGGACCCCACTGCCATCCTCTGTAACCATGGTTTGGTGGGACATGGACTTTCTTTCCATGTGCTAGCCACAAGCCCCTCTTCTTCAGTTCTTGATCCCAAGTACTTTGTCTCAACTGACCACCAAAGGAGGTCAACCAGGACAATGCTGACCTCAAAGTCAAACCATAATGCTTACAAGGTGGAAGGTCATGTCAACAAAGCCCCATTTTGAGGCAGAAGAGACCCATTGACATTGCCCATGGAGCACGACCCACAAGAACCTGATAGAGAAGTCAGGTTTCTCAGGGACTTCCTATATCTTCCGTGAAGATCTCTGTACTGAGCTTTGGAGAACTGATAGCTTCCTGGTCTAGGTCACTGTGTCCGGTTTGCTTTCCATCACTTCACTGACATAGACATTGCAATATGGCATAGTTTTCCATTTACCCTCCACCCAGGAAAACAGGGTAAAGCCAGGCCACTGGCTCACCAAAGTAGAACATGTTTCATCTAAGGCCGCGAACCCCAAAAAACAAAAATTCCTTCATATGCTCAGACTCACCCAGCCTCAAGTTCATTCACTATAAATCAGATATAATAATGCAAACTCTTTAAGTCATTTTCAGGTTTAGAGACACTATGCCAAAGAGCCTTGCATCATGCATGGCCCAGAGCTGGCACATAGTAAACTGTGGTTATTGCCACCATCACCATGAAAACCAACACCACCATCACCACCAGTAGAGAGTCTGCCTAGGTTGATCATCATGGTTGGCCATAGTAGTCTTCCAAATATTCAATTTTGTGAAAAGCTTAAATACCAAATGGTACAGTTACAGCTCATTTCAAATTGCATGCTGGGGTGGTTATTAGTGATTATATATAATTTATTCAGTCACTGTGCACACCTGGATCTTAAAGAGCTTAGCATCTGCTAAGCTTAGATGCTGACATCTGATATTTGCAAAGAGAGGCAGGGGTAAGTGTGTTAAAGTGGAGCTCACAAGGCCTAAATAGGAGTTGATAAAACCTTGAAAAAAGTCATGCTCAGTCTACATCTGTGCTATGCCCCCAAATACAAAGCTTCTTTTTGGAGCTCCCCAAGATGACTGATCACTCCTTTGTCATAAGCTGACAGCCAGAGCTGTTTGACTTTACAGTGATCAAGCTACTGCTTGGTAGACCAGGACATTAGCGTTCTTCAGGGCCAAGTCCACAGCTTCTCCCCTGGGTGACAGTGGAAGTCCTGATCCCAAAGAGGGAGGGAAGAACAAGGGCCTGAGTCCTGTGGCCAGGCCTCCTGGGGACATGTGCAGAGAGAGACTCAGTCAGACTCACCAACCCAGGGAAGTCCTGACACCTTGTCTCAACCTGCCCCAGGCCAAGGCTCAGGCCAGCTGAGGAAGTGGCAAGTGTGGGCTACTTACAGGGCATCTGAAGGCAGTGGTGTAGAACAGATAGCAAGCAGGGGTAGGCCTCGGTGTGCTTTAGCTTCTTGTGGATCAGCTCAAACATCTGGGAAGCACTCTTGGTGTCGATGTGGACCTGAGGGAGTAGAGGGCACAGTGAATGGGGAGGGGGCAAGCCGTGGAAGAAGAGGGGAGAAAACCCTACTTCCATCCACTGAGCCCCATTTCCCGGGATGACATTCATTCTCCTGCTTCTGGCCCAGGCTTCAAAGGAGAGGCACAGAGAAAAGGAGAAGGGAGATGTCCTAATTATATGAAGCAGGATTTCTCAATCTCAGCATATTGGCATCTTGGACCAGATCATTCTCTGTCGTGGGAGCTGTCCTGTTCATTGTAGGCTGTTCCACAGCATCCTTAGTCCATATCTACCAGATACCAGTGACATCCTCCTTGTACCGGTTGTGATAACAAAAATTGTCTCCAGGCTTTGCAAATGTCCACAGGGGGAGGAGGAAGCAAAGTTACTCCTGGTTGAGAACTACTGTTTCAAACCAAGGAAAGGGGACAGGGGCATAGACAATTCAAGGACCACATAGCATAGTTCCACACAAGCTGGGTTCAAATCCCAGATCTACTCTCTCATTGCGTGACCACAGGCAAGCTAATCTCAGTCTTCTTATTGTAAATCCAGGGCTTGTGTGACCATATAATGGGATGGTGCTTGGTGACTGCAGCACCACCAGAAGTAAGCATCTATTTGAATAGAGATTTTATAATATAATATTTAAGCAGCAGAATTGTGTATTTTCAGGGTTATTGAGGCTGAAATGAAAAGACAATCTGGTTTGTGAAGCATGATCTAGTTAGTGGCAGGGAAAGGGGACTCAGGAAATTGCTGGAAGGCAGGGGGAGAGTAGCCCAGGAGAGAATCTGAAACTAATAATGTTTAAGGACTGGCCCTCTTTCCTTTGGGGATTGCAATCTCCCAGCAGAGGAGATGCCCTACCAGGTAAGGCCTGCCAGGTGAGGCCCTGCAGAGCCAACACACTGCCAGGCTCCAGAAGTAGGACCTGTCTGTAGGACCACTCACCAGGGAAGCCAGCCAACACTGGACCTACCGCAACATGGGATCTGGAGAAGAGGCTGTGGGGCCACCTGGGACCCCACTGCAGTTGCCCCATCCCTGTAGGCTTCTTACCATGTCAAACCTCCTGGCTAGTTCCAGGTCATCCTCATTCCGGACCATCTCAAAGAAGTCTAAATGCCTAGATAGGATGAGGGGACAGAGAGAGTAGATATTACTTCCAGGATGTCCCTGTTTGAGGATTAGTCCCTTCAACTCCCCAGTGAACTAAATCTGAAAGCTTAATTCAGGTGATGCTGAGGCAAAACCAGAAAGAAGCCACTGGTCTGTAGGCCAACACTCTCCTCCTTTATAGAATCCCATGCCCCTTCTTCCTCAGGGAGGCCAGCCTAGAGTCCCATCACCTTAGATCAGGCTTTCTCAATTTTGGCACTATTGATATCCAAGGCTAGATTTTCCTTGGTTGTGGGAGGCTGATCTGTGAGACGTAGAAGGTTCAACAGCATTTCTGACCTCTACCCACTAGACACCAGTAGCAGCCCCCACCTTTCAAGTCATGACAACAAAAATGTCTCCAGGCTTAGCCAAATGTCCCCTGGGGGTAAAATCATCCAGTCAAGGACTACTGCTCTGCCTTCACCAGGGTTCTCATACTGTCCTCATGTCAACCTTCAAAGCCAGTCTCTCATTTTTCACCCCATCCACTCCCCAACTTCATTTCAAAAGGGCCCATCCTGTCTCCCTTAAGACCCAGTGCAATAAAATAGTCTGTACCAATGGGACAGAACCAGAGGGGACAGATAGGAACTTAACTGGAATTAAGGAACACATAGGAATTTAATTGTGCCCTTTAATCAATAAAGGCTTTTATGGCTTCCATTTGCGGTGGGGCAATTTCTTTGTTAAGCAGGAGTGCCCTGCAGGATGTATAGTATTCCTGGTTTCCAACAACCAATACCAGTTAGTGTCCCCCAACCAGCCAGTCTAAAAACCAAAGGAACACCCCTATGTGTTTCCAAAGCGCCCCCCCCACCACCCTGGGGAAGTACTAACATGGTTGAGGACTACTGGGTCCACCTGCATTTAACATCAGAGATGAGAAAGCAGGTCAACAAAGAGAGCAGTCAAGGACAGAGGTAGGATGTGGGACAAGGGGGTGAGAGCTGTCCACCTCCCCGCCACAGAGCTGATTCTGAATTAATACTGGGTATGGCAGGTGGTCTCCAGTGGGAAGGGCAGCCTCCTTGAAAGTCCTAATCATCCCCAACTGAGGCACTGTCTCCATGGCTTGGGCCTTACTTGTCCAGGATGGCATTCTCGTGCTGCCGGAGTTTGTCAATCACAGGTTGGATCCCCAGCATCAGGAACTCATACCGTAGATGAAGGCGGAACTCCAGATTATCCTGGGGGTCACCGAAGGAGGACCAGACTTATTGGCTTGTGGCTCTTCCACAAGAGTCCCCAGTGGACCCACTCTAGTCATTGTCCCACTATATCACCTGCAACAACCCATCTGGAACTGCCTCAAGTCCAGAGTTCCAAGAAAGGGCAGGAGGAGACATACTAGACCTTGTTATTTATTCCCATTAGGTTTCCTGCCTCATTTCCTTCAAGTCCCTTACCGGTTTTCTCAGCCTTTGGCGTCAAAGACTGGCACCATAGAGTAAGGTAAACCATAAGCTTTGATTTCAAACAGATCTTGATTCAAATCCCTGCTCTGACACTCACTAGTTTTGTGATTTTGGGAAAGCCTTAGTTTTCTCATCTGTAAAATGGGAATGATATTACCAAAAGGGATGATATTACATTAAGAATTACCTGATGAAGTATGGTTACCAACTAATCAGAACAGATTAGTGTAGCTAGTACTGACAAGGGTGATGTCAGCATCTGAGGGACAGATTGCTCTCCCAACCCACCTCACCTAACTTAGCTCATCAGGACTGGTTGCAAGAAAAGTGTGCTGGCATAAAAGAGGGAAAAGTAGAGATCATTAAATTGCCCCTTTTGTCCTTCAACAAATTGACCTTGACTGGGGCATCTGATTCCCTTAGAATTTGGGGAGTTCATCTGCTCTTCAAGTTCATCTTCAACTTGCTATTTTTACAGTCTGAGAATCCCATTCTGACCCCACAGTAAGGAAAATCAGAAGCCATACCTCCTAACAGAAGGTGCTAGAGGGCATGACCAGCCAACTCAGAAACCAGTCCAGAATCAGGTCTTTAGAAAACTCTAGGAAGAAGAGCCTACACTTGCCCCCCTCCCATAAATGATCCCCCGCCACCCTAAGCCAGCATCAGCCAGCCTACGTGGGGTTTGTCCAGTACGCACATAATGCACAACGCTACCCATGCAAGGAACTCCCCAAGAACCCCTCCTGACTGCAAGGTTCTTGACAATCTATTCTTTCTCAGCCCCAAGTGAAAGAGGCAAGAGTTTATAAAGGTAATCTGAAGACAATGATGGTAGTGGCAGCCATGCCAACCAGAGGTCTTGGCCCTTTCCCTCTACTACATCCCCAGGAGGCACTTGCACACATTCCCCTGGGGCCAGAAAGTCCAGGAACAGTAAGAGCAAGGACAAGATGCCTCACCTCTCCAGCTCCAGCATTGAGGACAGCGTTGATGAAGGACATGATAGCTGTTTTCAGATTCACTTCATCCCGGTACCGGCCCAAACTTCGGTCTAGCTCATTCAGCAGTGTCTGGTTGGAAAGGCGGGACAGGAGAGGAAGGGTGGGCTCAGGATCCTACAAGTCCAGCCTCTGTGCCTGTGGTCCCACCATTCTAACGCCACGTACTTGCTCTACCCAATCTACCTCGCTTACCCTGGTCCTTCCCAAAAGCTCAGCTTTTTCAAGAAGCGTCCCTTGCCCCTCCATACCTCGATCTCAGTCCTGCCACTCACCTCCAGGGCTTAGTTTATTTTGGAGGGCCACACCGAAATGCTGCTTTAGCATTTTAGAGCTGTTTACAGCTCCGGCTGCTTATAGCTCATAAATCTTCCTGCCCCGCTCCCTGGCAGCATGGACACTGCCTTTTACCTCTTCTGCAAAGGGTCAGGGGCCACTTTCTGCACAGAGTAAGTGCTTAAAAATGTTTGATGACAGAATATACAAATAGCCTATACTGGTAGATAAACCACAGCACTTGTAGTGACAGTTTAGATCTATTGATACTTACTCTACATAAGACATTTTATACTCATTATCTCATTACTTTTCTGGGGCAGGTCAGGGAGAAGAAAAGAGAATGGCTTCAGTATCCAGCACTGTTCTTGGGGTCCCCATAGTAAGCACTGGCCCGGGCATAGGGCTTAAAATCTTGGCCCCAACAACTGCATTCAATTTAATTTTTGACTGAGCCACTGTGATTCATCAGGCACTGGGCTCAGAGATGTAGAGCCAGAGACTAATAATCCAGCCTCAAGGAACCCACGGTCTAGTGATGCATCCATTTTCCCAGCCAAACCCGTATCTCTTAAGGTCCCTTATGTCTTTTTATATAAGCCCTCACCTAGGCGCCCCCTCACCTGAAAGCGTGTCCGCTCAGCTGCGTACACCTGGTAGTGGAGCATGGCTTGCAGCACCTTCTTGTGGCCACCAGGCACCAAGCACACGGCACCCAGGATCTCCAGCACGGCCACCTTGGTCTTGCTGTTCTCTGTGCGCAGACTCTGTGCAATGGTGCTGATGGCCTCGGGCTGTGCCAGCACATGCGCTCGCCCCTGGGAGTTGTTCATCAGAGCCTTGATGCAACCAATGAGGGAGGTGTGGATGCGACTTTCGCAGGTGGCGTGGTCCATGCTCCGGAGGAAATTCAGCAGACAGGTCAAACCCTCCAGCTCAATGAAGCGTGTCACAAACCTGTCCAGGCCAGCAGCATTAGCACAACAGGTATCCTGAATTTGCCTATTATTATGTATACACTTTGCAAATAGTTACCCCGGGACCTGTATAACACAGTGTCCCACCTATAGTAGCCACTTGGTTCATTTAGTGAGTTTATTTAAGGCATTGAAATCCTATCACCCTCGCAGGAGACTCGTGCCTTCTTTGCACCTTAAATATCGTGCATTTGCAGGCCATTGACTGTCAGTTGCATAGCTGTGATGGTGTACACTTGAAGAGAATGATTGCAGTAATTGTTACTATAATTATGCTATAATTATAATGGCTGTTAAACCTGAAAATTCATCTCCAGAGAGGAGATGTCAGAAGACAAAGTGGACTTCCAGACAGGGGGTCATCAGGAGTCACTGAGTCATGGGACCAAGGCTGGGGAAGGCGCTCTTCAAGTGATCCTTAAGAAAATAGCTATCTTAAATATTAACAGAAAGCATTAAAAACCATTTAGTTCAGGGGTTCTTAACCTGGAGTCTGTGTTCCCCTAAGGGGTCATGGCTAACTTGCAGGGGTCTGTGAACTTGGATGGGGAAAAAAACGTTACACTTTTATTTCAGGTAGGTAACCTCTACCTGAAATGTATTATTTCTTCGTATGATGAATGTGGGCAATAAACTACAGTGGTAATAGCAGAACCTGGGACTTTGTCACCCAAAGAAATCAGCTATAGTTGCTACAGGTGTCACAGACTATCACTTCCACTCATCAGCACTTCAAAATCATGGTGGTTGCTAGCTCTTTCTGCTTAAGGCGTAAAAAAGCACATTAATTGCTATCTCACAAATGTTTCATATTTGGTAACTGTATTTCAATTTAATTGGTTTATTTTTCATCTTATCTATTTTATTATTTAAAAATATCATTCTCACGGATCTGTACTTCTGAAACAAATGCAATATATGTTAAGAAAAAAAAGAAGAAGAAGAAGAAGATAGCAGGAGGGGAAGAATGAAGGGGAGTAAGTCGGAGGGGGAGACGAACCATTAGAGATGATGGACTCTGAAAACAAACTGAGGGTTCTAGAGGGGAGCGGGGTGGGGGAATGGGTTAGCCTGGTGATGGGTATTAAAGAGGGCACATTCTGCATGGAGCACTGGGTGTTATGCACAAACAATGAATCATGGAACACTGCATCAAAAACTAATGATGTAATGTATGGTGGTTAACATAACAATAAAAAAATTATTAAATATCAAAAAAAAATATCATTCTGATAAGCAGTCAATAGGTTTCATCTGGTGCCAAAGTCATCCATGGCACATGCACCTTCACACACGCATATACATAGAGAGGCTTAGAACACTGAATTTCGTAAAACAGTAACGATCTAAGGAAATGTCATAAATGGAGCTGAGGGAACCATCGCATAGAGTTAATACATTTGGTCCCAAATGTATTTGTGTATGTCCATGTTATTATAGAAATATGTCTACAAAATGAAATATACTCTAAAATTAAGTCTTTAAAATAGGTATTATTTGTTTCTATTATATGCTTTTCTGTGTTCTGCAGAATTTCCACCATGACTATGTGTAACTTTTACAATCAGAATTTTACTAAGGGAAAGAAAAGTAAATTGAAGTGGGAGACAAACCTGGCAAACTTCCCTCAACCCCTCTCCTTCTCGATGTCCTCATCCTTCCTGCACCCTCTTCCTACAAGCCCCCCACCCCCTGAACCACACGGGATTAAGACGCTCCCATTCTCCTGAGGCTCTAGTTCCAGGCTCCCAAAGTAGAGAGCTCAGCCCAAACCACACACACACACACACACACACAGGCAGACCAGTATGCTGGTAAACATTTAACAACTGGCTGTCTGAAGAAAGAAAAAAAGGTCTGATTGTAGTGTTTGCCAATTTCCACAATATAAATATGCCCAGCATAGCTGATTTCAAGCTATCAATGTGACATCTTTGAATGTGGAGTTGGGAAGAGGTGTAACATTTATAGTACAGATGATCCTTGAATAACACAAGTTTGAACTGTTTAGGTCCACTTATATGGGAAGTTTTTCAATAAACACAAGTACAATACTATGAATAGATTTTCCTTATGATTTTCTTAACAGTTTCTTTTCTCTAGCTTACCTTGTTGTAAGAATACAGAATATAATACATATAACATATAAAATATGGGTTAATCAACTGTTTATGTTATTGGTAAGGCTGCTGGTCAATGGTAGATTGTTAGCAGTTAAGTTTTGGGAGAGTCAAAAGTTATACACAGATTTTTGACTGCATGGGGGTTGGCACCCCTAACACCGACCTTGTTCAGGGTCAGCTGTATTTCCACCATGCATATACAATGAATATGAACTCAAGAGCATATGTAACAGTCAAGAACATACATAAAACTAAAATGTAGTAAACATTAAGTAATTAGGGAGTGAAAAGTTTCAAGTATTTATTACTTTTGTTTTTAGTATGATTTATTTAGTTTTAAGTTTATATAACTCATATTCTAATCATAGCTATGTTTAACAAGCAGCTTACAAAACTGCTGAAAATTTAACAGTCGGCTCCCACAAGGAGCTACAAGCCAGCTCCCAGGCTTGAGGAGAAGCTGTGGCTCTTGGCCCATTTTGGACCTTTGTGCAGTATGGCCTGGGAAGGGGGAAGGGTCCTTCTTCTCAAAATCATCCCCTTTGTCTGGCCTGCATCACTCCTCCTCTAGGTGGTGGAATCTCATCTACAGACACCACATCGCCCCCTAGTGGCTGGAGTATCTCTTCTCCACGCTGCCCTCCTCCCCCGCCCGGGGCATTCATTCTCAGAGCTCTTTCTTACACACCTTGTCCATAAGGCCACCTTCCCTGCCATTCTGTTCTCCCAAGACAAACAAGTACCTGCCCTCAGTTTCTGCTCAGATAGCACTTCAGGACCTGAGGTTTATGTCACATTCCTCTGCTCTCTGTCCTGGTCCCCCACATGCCCATCCTCTGGCAGCCTCCCAGCTCCTCAGAGAGGGGTTGTAGGAGGCAGGCAGTGGAACAGAGTGCAGGGAATTCTAGGGGATGTGGTGGGGGGGGAATGGAGCTGGCAAGGGGACTGGGATAGGAGCAGAGCATTGGGTGAAGCTTCAGGAAGTTGAGGGGGACCAGCAAGTGAAGGGGTGTGGAAGGAAGTGGGAAGGGGAAACACAATGAGTCACCTCATGGGTTGTGTCCGGAGAGCTGTCTTCAGGTCTTCCACAACTTGGTTCCTCATCTCCGTCTCTTCCTCATCAAAGGCATACAGACTCTGCATCTGAGGTAGGTGGAAAGGGGCGGAGGTCCTGCTGGGCTGCCTGAGCCCCAGCTCCCTGCATCCCCTAGCCCAGGTGGGACCCAGGAGCCACCCTCGACTCAGGAAGGGTGGGGCCTCAAGGAATGGTTCACTAAGAGGGTCAGATTCTGAGAAGACCCAGGTTCCAGTCCCAGACTTCACTTTCCTCATCTGTGGAATGGGGAGAAGTATCGGCTCGGCCTGTTTCCAAAGACTGTGTGAGATACAAATGGCTAATAAATGTTCATATGGTTGGGGGCCTCTAAAGTCACACAGAGAAGGGAGGGATTATGTTTTAAAAATCTCAGGAATAACTGGAAAGCTGTTGATCCCCAGTGAGTGGGGTGTGAAGTTCAGGGAAAGATGCGGGATGATCACTCTCTCCCATGGCTTTTCCAGGTGGGGTGAGGGCAGGGGAGAAGCCATTGCTCACGGCAGCCATAGAGTTGATGCGGTCGATGTAATAGTCAGGCCAGCTGGTTGCCAGCTTGTTGGGGTCCTCCTGCTCCTGGAACAGGAAGAAAGACTGTATGGACCACCTGGCAAGATAGGCCCATGCCCTGAGGTCCTGAGCTTCATTTCATGTCAGCAGATTCACTTTCCAGCCCCACCCAGACAGGGTTATAACTTTGAGGAAGTTACAAAATCTCTCCAGGCTTCCATTTCTTCCTTGGTAAAAATGCAGATAGTGAACACTGACTCTCGTCACCGGCCAATGACATGGGCAGAAATCACACAGGTATATGCACTTTCAATGAACAATATATATAATTAAAAATAAATTCTTTTTTCCTGTTATATCTGTCCCCTCTTTATTTGTTTGCTTCTTAATAAAATATAATTTTGTCTGTTGAACCTAATAAAAATCTGTGCATATATTTTATACATCTGGTTTTTCAAATTTTACTTTCTAATACCATTCTCATTGTATTTTACAAAAGTATTGGTTTTTGACAGTTTGGAATTTTAAAAACTTGGTTTTTCTCTCAGACTGTTTGAGAAGCACTGATATAAAGCATTTGGTGCAGTTCTTTGGCACATGGTAGGCACTCAGTGAATAGTAACTTCACTAAAAGAGGGAAAGAGACTCCCAAGCCCTGGGTTTTGGAAAGACTCAGGAGGACTCGGTGTAGCTGGGAGGCAGAGCCCAGAGCACAGGGCCTTTGGCCCAACCCTCAGGTTTCAAGGGAAAGTCTCAATTCTTCCCCAGGGATGGGCAAAGACAATAAGAGTTGAATAAATATTAATGTTGATTGAAGATCTAGCCCTCTCCTTCAGCCAATGACTCTACTTCTGGGCATTACACACACCCTGCTCCTTCCTGATCCTGTCCCATTTGGATGTTCCCCTTCACCTGCCTTCTGCTAATCTCCTGCTTTCAAATCTGCACAAAAACTTAACTCCTCTTCCAGAACCATGCTGACAAACTACCTGTCTGCCAGGTGACCTGGACTTTGCCCTGCATCCCTCAGCTATATCTACTAGCTTCACAGTTTTGTTTCACAAAACCCAAATTTTAGGCCAGTGGGAAAGCTGCCTTGATTTGGTCTTTGTGATTTCACATGGCTATGTGTTAACTCTTCATGACTGAAACTCCCCAATTCTATCTTCTGACCTTGGGGAGGGGATCACAGAACCAAAAACAAATGCACCATCAAATATATATTTTCCTGTCTTTGCCAGCTCATCATTTCTCCATTCCATGTGCATTAAATGAGCACCTACTACATGCCAATCACTGTACTGAGCCCTGAAAGTACTGAGCAAAAAGTCAGTCTCTGTCTTCCATAGAATAGTCTCGTGTCAGAGGTAGGGTGACAAATGCTTTATGGTCAAACTGTCTATAGTGGGCTGTGGAAGCCCTGGGTGGGGGCATCTAACACAGAAGGCTCATGAGGGGCGGTCGGAGAGGACAGAGTTATTAAAGATTACTGAAGCTAAGACAGGTGGGGAAGATGTTACAAACAGAGGAAGCACCACATGGCAAGAGAGAGGTATGTGAAAGTGTGGGGGGAGATTACATGTAATCTGATTTGGAAGGTAGAACAAGCTATCCTTACATTTCAGTATTTTTTTTTTTTTTATCGTAGTTGTAATGAAGGAGAAGAGAGGGAGGAGAGGGTGGGGAGAACGGGGACTGATGTATGACCTTGATATACCTGCTGCCCTGTGAGGCCGAGCCTGGGACGGGTGGGGGCCAAAGATCCAGAAGAGGCCATCCCTGCCCCAAACAGTCCTTACAACACAAAGCTGCCCCTGGGTATGGCACAGGACAACATGCCCTCCAGGCAGGCACGGGAAGGGAGTATAGACTTATCATCTTGGTATCTCCTTGACCCAGCCCCACTCCTGGAGCCCAGTGGGCACCTGCATCAAGGGTCTTTGAAAACCAGAATCCCTTTCCCTGTCAGCTCCATGAGAGCAGGGAATTTTTTGTCCTGATTTATTCATGCCACTGACACCTAGAACGATGCTGGTATATAATAAATATCTGTTGAATGAGCGAGCAAGCATAGAGGCAAGAGCTGTGCCAGGCTGGGGACCCTGAGGTGGCAGTGGAAGTGGTCAGACATGGCACCTTCTTCTTGCTGCAGTAGATCTGCCATTTCTTCTCCGGAGGCAGTGCAAACACAGCCTCTCGGTTTTTGTCGGTGAGATCCAATTCATCCTGCAAAGACAAGAAATATGTCTGAAACCCAAAGATGGTTGACATTAGAATATTCACTGCTACAGGAAATCGCAATTCCCCCAAACCTATCCCTCAGCCTACTGTCTCCCTCCAGAGAGTATCAAAGTATGATAGAGCAATTCTTCTGCTAGAAATACAGCCCTACACCCCCACCCCCATTCCCTTACATCGACCTAAGCCTGGGCTGCCTCTATCCATGCTTCCCTTACTTCCTGTCCACTCCCACTTGTCTCTACAAATCTGCTCTCCTCCCCCAGGCTGCCTGTTCCCTGCCCATCTCCTTCCTGCATTGCTTTGCTAGCTCCTAACCGTCTTGCCCTGGGTTTCTGCTCTTCTTTCCCTTGTCCTTCTTAAGCTTGTCAACATCATAAGTCAAGGCCTGACAAAGCACTCAGTCTACAGATCTAGTTTCTGCCCCAACCTGCAAGTCTCCCTGACCTTTGAGTTTCTCCCCCAGAAATTCTCTGGCTCCCCCCAACCTCGGCCTGTTCTTAGCACAGGGTGAGAAGAGCTGGTGAGGATAAGAAGCTGTACAACTCTCCTGGCAAGAAGAGTATGCCATGGAAAGGGAGGTTCTGATCTGCTTCCCGTGGAGGTGTGTCTGTCAGAGGTAGCTCCTCCACCCACACAAGGCTGGGAGCTCCACCACACTAATCCACACTTCCCAAGGAGTATAATTGGGTAGTTCTGATGTCATCAAATTTAGGGTTGTTCTATGGGAGTCACTGAAGGTTTGGCTGCATTAGATGGCCTCTAAAACCTCTCTTATTGAAGACTTTCCTCCTGTGATTCATGAGCTATGCCAAAGCTCATCAAAGAAATAGATGGGCCACAGGAAATGTAGCCTGCTTTTCGACTCAATTATTGTGAGAGTTTTCTTTTTTTAAATCAAAAGCAATACTCACATTAAGACAATAAAGCATACTATTAATAATCTTTGTCTTTTCAAAAATGATAAACAGTGAAAGTAATATGTAAAAAAGTATAAGGGTCTTAAATGTCAGTATCTCTTTTCCCTATACTTTTAAGGGAGAACATTGAAGACTTTCCTTTACATAGATCAGAACTGTCCAATAGAAATATAATGTGAATATAATGTGAGCCAAATGTATTTTTAAAAAATTTCTAGTCATAGTAAAAATTAAGAAGGAATTGGTGAAGTTAAATTTAATATTTCATTTAACCCAAAATATCTAAAATATAATCATTTCAACATGTAATCAATAGAAAAAATTGTGTTTGAAAAAAAGAATATAAAGAATGTAGGTCATCAAAATATGGTGTTTATTTCAACCTTATAGCTCCTCTCAGTTCAGACCAGCCACATCTCAAATATGCAGCAGCCCCAAGTGACTATAGCTGCCATCTTGTACAACACATACAAAGATAATTTGAAGCAATACCCATCAGTTCACCTGCCTTTGGAACTAAAGACTCCTACAGATCTAATGCTAAACAAAGGTTCTTCCTTAGAATCACTCTCTACATATCCCAGTAACATCCTCAGTTAAGATTCCCAGAGCCCCGCTTGAAGTTTCTAGAGTATTTCCTTTCCATGGTCAGAAACAGAAATCAAAGAAATAATAGAGATATATGTACCTTACACTTCCCAGGGCAAACTGCATCTCTTCTTCTTTTGCTTATACAGTTAGTTCTACCTGGACTACCGTCCCTGACCACCCACCCCATGAACCCTGGTCTAATTTACCCAGGTTCAAGGTCAGCCTCTTCCAGCAAGGCTTTCATAGCCATTCCCAGGTAAGACCATCTTTCCCCTCCTGAACTCCAGAGCAGTTACATTCAAACTTGGATTCTGGTTACTTATGCACTTGTCTTTTCTCACCAGTGGTCTCTGTCACTAAATCAATGGGTATTTCTTGGTGATTTGGCTCAGCCCAGGTAGCCTATGACTGACTGCAGACCATTCACTCCTTATTGAATCTACCTGGGTTTCTGCAACAACCACACTTTCTGGCAATCCCTCTTGCTTTGCTCTATGTTCATCTTGGGCTCCCTTGGTATCTTCTTGTCTTCTCTCCTACCATCAAATATTGAAGTCCCTCAGGAGTCCTGGTATCTCCTTCCTGTATCCTTCCCCAGTAAAGACTTCTCAGCCATTCCCAAGGACTGTTACTACCCTAAACTCTCTCAAACCTATTCCTCTAGCCCACCAGTTTCCTGAGCTCCAGACCCTGGGACACAACTGCCCCCTGTGCTTATCTATTTTGATGTCCCTCAGGTACCTCACACTTTTATGTAGTATCACTATGCACCAGGCACTGTTCTAAGTGCTTAATATTTACTCAATAAACTTACAACAACCCGTTTTATAGATGTGGAAATTGATGCACAGAGAGAATATGCAAACTAAGTTCATCATCCCAGTTCTCTAAACCTGAGTTTCCTCTGGAATTTCCTGTCTTTTACAGGGCCCCAACATTCACTCAGTTCCTCACATCAGAAACCTGGGTGTTCCCTGATTCCTATTCACTCTCCAAGCCCAACAAGTCCTATATTTCCTCCTAAATAGCTCTTCAATCTGTCCTCTCCATCCTCACTAATGACATTTAATCCAAGCCACAGTTCTCCCTAGCTTGGATTGCATTAAAACCCTCTTAATGTTCTACCCATAACTCTTCTTCAATAGAGTACCCTGAATGGTCTTTTGAAGACCATCCTGCTTTGGTGACTTCCTATCACCCTTAAGATTGTGTATGAAATCCTGTTACTCTCATCTTCCATAGTGAACCTCTAACGGCCCAGCTCTTTACTAACTGGAGACTCTCACATATGCTGCTTCTCCTACTGGGGACAACCCTCTCTCATTGCTCTGCAACCCCATTCACTTCTCCAGCCATCACACTGCCTTTGGATCTCAGTGGAAATTTCACTCTTCAGGGGGACCATTGTGACGGAGTTGAAAATTAAACTCCCTGCTAGACATTGCCGCAGGCCCATGAATGTCCCCTTTCCAAACACTAACTACACTTGTCATTACTGCTCAAGATCAGTCTTCTCTATTAGATTTTACATCCTTGGAGGCAGGCACTGTGCCTTTTGGTTCATCACTAAATCCCTGGGACCTGCATAGGGCCCAGCACACAGCAGGTTCTCAAGGAATATTTTTCATTTGTTTGCTCAAAACTGGCTCAATGTTAGTTTGCTCAGTTTGTTTGCTGATGCTAGTCTCCTTGCAGATAAGACTTGTGTGACTCATCCTTGTTTTTTTTTTTTAATATTTTATTTGTTTATTTGACAGAGAGAGACAGCAAGAGAGGGAACACAAGCCGGGGGCGGTGAGGGAGTGGGAGAAGGAGAAGCAGACTTCCCGCTGAGCAGGGAGCCTGATGCGGTGCTTGATCCCAGGACCCTGGGATCATAACCTGAGCTGAAGGCTGACACTTAATGCCTGAGCCACCCAGGTGCCCCCTCATCCTTGCTTTTGTCAAAGTACTTTGTAAGGAGTCCTGCCCACTAAAGATGCTCAATAAATACTTGCTGAATAAAAGGGCCAAGGAAAGGAACATTTTTCATCCTGTCCTTCTTTCAAAACTCATGTGCTCTGTTCAAGAAAATGTCCATGCTGTGATAATACAAGAAATATATTTTTTATCTTTGTTCCCAGTTCATAGCATAAAGTTCCCAAATTCCTTGGAATTTTATGAGTGATAAAATTGACAGGAGCATCTTTGTTCCTGACACAGGGCTCCTAAATCCCTTGGAATTTCCTGGGTGGCAGGAGCCTCTGTTCTTCTAGTGAAGCAACTCTTGGTGGGACCCTGGATACCTTCATGGGGCCGGTCACCAGAAAGATTAAGCCTTGATTAGAAGTCTAGAATTTTCAGCCCCACTTCTCAAACTCTGAAGAGAGAAGAGAGACTGAAGGTGAAGTTAAAAACCTATCATACCTACATGATGAAACCTCTATAAAAACCTCTAAGGGACAAGGTTCAGAGGGCCTTGGGGTTGGTGACCACATTCAAATGTTGGGGGGATAGTGCAAACAAACTCCACAGGACAGAAGCACCTGTGCTTGGGACAGGACCCTTACCCTTCTGGACCTTACCCAATGTACCCCTTCATCTGGCTGTTCATTTGTATTCTTCGTAATATCCTTTATAATGAACTGGTAGTAGTAAGTGAAGTCTTTCCTTACATTCTGTGAGCCATTCTAGCAAATTATCCAACCTGAGGAGAGGATCATGGGAACTCCTGACTTGTAGCCAAATCTCTCTGAAGTGTGGGTAACATGGGACCTACGACTTCTGACTGGTGCCTGGGTGGGGGGCCGTCTTGTGGATCTGAGCCCTTCATCTGAGCCCTTCATCTGTGGATCTGAGCCCTTCGTCTGTATTAACTCTGAGTAGTTAATGTCAGCATGGAGTTAAGTTGTAGGACACTAGTTAATGTCTGCAATGAACTAGGGAATTGTGTGGGGTGGAAAACCAACACATTTGATGTCAGCAGTATTCTGAATTAAAAAAAAACAAAACAGATCCTAGTAGTCCTAACACCAATCAGGTTCCAAATGTCATTGTATATTAGTAAACACTTTGTTCTCTCCCATCCATGCTCCATCCTGAGGAAAGGATGAGGGTTTCTTGAACCTGAGTTCGGGAACAACGAGTTTCCCTGAGCCTGATGTGACAAGGAAGGTGACAACTTTCTTGCATAACCTGCATGGTCTTATCTTATAGTGGTCCAGTTATTTGGAAAGCTAGATTGCCTTAATCATAACTCATTATCCCATTCAAATATGAAATCCCATTTCAAATCACATAGCATTTTTTCTCTGATGGCTTGACTACTGGCCAACCACGAGAATGAATGACCAAGAGCTAGGGTAGATGAATCTGTGCTTATTACTCTATACAGGGTTCAGCCCTGAGTCCTGGGCATGGGTCCTACATCCTTGATCTGAGTCTCCTTTGCTTTGTCTCACCACCAGACCTCCAAGAAGAGGAATCATGCTTCTTTCCTGTTCTCTTTGTGGTCAGGGTATAATTTCACATACTCACTTTGTGAGTGGTTCTCACAAAGGTGTAGTGCTGCTCTAGTCTGAATGGGCATCACATAGTCAGGAAGAGCTGCTACCAGTGTAAAAGACAGAGCTTCCACCTGCCATAAGCTAGACATGGGATATAATCACCAGCCCTGAACCAGGCCTGAGCCAGGTGCAACATGGGCATCTCTACCTCCATATTTCTAGTCAATCATCCCCTGCTATGAGGACCTGATATCTGCCTACAGAACACCACTCTGTCCCTTGTTCCTGTATGAGGGGAAAGAATCCCAGGGAAGTTCCAGAGAGAAGACAGAAAGGTGTCAAGTGTTCTGGTATTCTTTGAAGCTCCTCACTGCCTTATTTCACAAAGGCCTGGACCTGCTCCTTTCATGATGGACTAACTGCTATACCATGAGGTCTAGAATTCCTTGGAGATATGAGGTAGGTCCATTCTTCTGGGGACATATTTCGTGGTATCCACACCAGTAAATGACTTTTTTCTCCCTCACATCTGCATTGTCCTGGGGTCCCACCCTCGCCCCAAGCAGAGTTTCATAGGTAGAGATCCCAGCACATAGGTCCCTGCCCTCTGTCCTGCTCTGCCTGCTCCAGAATCCCTCTTCCCGTTGTCAACACCCTCCCTTCCTTGTCCCCTCACTGACCACCAGCTCTGCGAAGCGGACATTGAGCTCCTCTTGGTTCGGGATAGGACTTGAAAACTCCATATACTGCAGAGGGTGGTTGTCTCGGAGGTTGATCTCAGGGAGGCCACTGCCCCCAAAGCAGCACAAGAAGCCCAGGCCATGGCGGCTCCTCTTGCGGGGGGCCATGGTCACTCCAGGCCAGGGGGGACAGTCAGCTGGCAGATGCCCTAGGTCCTCATCGTGATCTGGACAGGAGAACAGACAGCACAGAGTGGTCAGGCAATGGCAACCAGGTAGGCAGGGACAGTGGTCACCAAGCTACCATAACTTCTTTGCTGAACTGTTAGGAGCCCTCAACCCAACAATAAAGGCCACCCTCCCTTCTTTCACAGCTTCTTTCTGTTCCCTCCAGCTCCTTCCACCTGTAGGATTCCCTCCCCATCATGCCCTCCAGTGTTTCCTGCCAGACATTTTCAGATTCTCCTTCTATGCTCCCAGAGAACAGAGGAGGGCAGTAGTCACAGAACATGAATTGCACTTTCTCCATGACTGTACAGATGGGTATCCTATTCCTTGTGTTCTAGCAGAGCCATTTTCAGCAGGGCCAACTCAGTCACTAGATTCATTTTAAGGTGTACAGATGCCTGGTTTAAAGGTTTCATCCAGTGGGGAGGGAAGGGTTGAAGTAGGCTGGAGAGGTAGCAAGCTAATTTTATGGCATGACTCCTGGGGAGTAGAGGATAGAAGTCTTCAGAGACTCGCAGGGTTTCTGTCCAGTCTGTTGTGCCAAGCATGTTTGAATGAATGTGAAATATCAATAGGACATGGGCTCACCACCCATCTATCTAGAAGGAGAGGTAACCTGGGGGAGTCATTAGAGTGAACCCTGAGTTAGGAAATGGAGCTGATCATTGGAACAGTGTTCAGCCAATACTGAAGGAAATCTGGTCAGATTTGTTTTCCATACCAACCAAGAACAGAAGACACCACTTTGGCCAGAGACCAAAACTCATGAACACCCAACACCTTTGTAACAGAAAGGGTTAAGTTTTTAGCTTGCCACTGGGAGAGGCTTGCTCAATGGTGCCCCACCTTGGGGAGAAACACTGGCCAGCCCTAGTCGTTGATGCCACATAGCTTCTAGATAAAGCCTAACTACCTGCACATAGGCTTCCCAAAAGGGTTAAAACCACCCTTGACCACTACTGGTTCCTAAACGTGCTTTCAGATAACCTGGGTGGGTTCAGGAGAGCTTACCCACAACACTGCTGCCCAGCCATGTTCTCCTTATTCAGTATTTGTATATCTTAATTTTTTTTAACATAAAAAGAATTCTGCCTTTTTCTCTATTATTATCATAGGTCTGGGGTCAGGATTTTTTAAATTATAAAATACACATAACACAAAATTTATCATTTTAACCATTTTTATGTGTATAGTTCATTACATGCATTCACATTGCTGTGCAACCAACCCTACCATCTATCTCCAAAATATTTTCATCTTGCAAAATAGAAACTCTGTACTCATTAAACAATAATTTCTCATTTCCCTCTCCCCCAAACCCCTGGCGACTACCACTTTACTTTCTGTTTCTATGATTTTGACTACTCTAAGTAGCAGTATGAGTAGAATCATAGGAGTAGAATCATACAGCATTTGTCCTTTTGTGACTGGCTTATTTCACTTAAAATAATGTCTTTAAGGTTAATACATGTTATAGCATGTGTCAGAATTTCCTTTCTTTTTAAGGCTGAATAATAATCTTCTGTATTTATATACGTTTTGTTTATCCATTCACCTATCAATGGACACGGGTTACTTCCTCCTTTTGGTTATTATGAATAATGTTGTTATGAGCATGGGTGTACAAATATCTCTTTACATTTCTTCTTTCAATGCTTTGATATGCATAGCCACAAGGGGTCAAGCTACTTTTGAGTCTTGACTCTAAGCTATTTCTCCTAGATTTGGTCATTAACAGAAATGTTCAGAATATACCCATGGTCTTTACCCAGACCATTGCTAAAAATGTCGACCACAACAAAGATATAGACAGACCCAGATGACCTAGCTACCTCATCTGGGAATGCCAAAGAACTAGTAATCAAGACTCTCAGGGAACAGTCCTTCAACCATCTTGGAATCCATGAACCCATGCTCTTATCTAGCCCTCTTTTCTATAAAGACACCATAGGAGATTTTTCCTGAAGCCTTGTGGAATTTGAGATATACCAAATCTAAGGCATACCTCAGAATGGAGCTCTAGAACCTTATCAGAAAAAGATAAATGTGTCATAACTTGCTCCTAGTGAACCCTAGGTAACTTCTGGAGAACAATGCTTTATTTCCTAAACCCTAACAATCTAGCTAGTAACAGTCTAATCTGATCAGGCCTCTCCTATAAGTCATGATGCATTTTAATTGTCATTCTAGAGCTTTTTTACTGGCTCCATTTTATCTTTCTTTATAAACTCTGTGACAGGCTTTTTAATAGACCCAGGAGAGCCTCAGTTAATACACTGAAGTGGTCTTGTATTATTGGTTATCTTTTTTGTGTTTATATATTGGCTCTCCACAGGGATAGTGAAGACTTCCTGAGGGCAGGGGCCCATGCTTCCTGCTTCTTTGATACACCTCCCATTTCTATGGCTAATAAGATACCTTGCACTTAGTGGTGTTCAATAAGTATTTCTTGGTCAATTGGGAAATAGCCTGTGCTCATGGAAAAGACAGACCCTTGTCAATCAGTCAAGAAATATTAATTGAAATCTCTGACTCCTAGCAGTTGATAAGCAATCAGGAACCTTTATAGGGAATAAGGCAAGAGGCCTGAGGCTGGGGATAGGGGAAGAAGCCAGTGGGCTAACTCAGCAATCCTGGTACATGGTGGCAAAGACCTAAAATAGGCTGGCAGCTGAGGAAAATGAAAGAGGAAAGGAGGCTTTTGGGGTTTTCCATGGGACTTGATAGCCAGTAGCCAAGAGTGGGTGAGACAAAGCCCTGGTCTCTGACTATCAGGCTTAGTAAAGCACCAATTCTGCAGGCAGATTGGGGTCAACAACCCTGGGGGTCACCTGACCATTGTCAAGTTTGAGATAATGCTGCCGAGTACAGACCAACTCCCCTTTGTTTCTTCAGCCTCCAATATGCAGCTGCAGCTGGTGGAGAGGCTGTTTTTTCAGGGCACAAAGTATGAGGACTCTCCCAGAGGCCACAGTGAAGCTGAGTTGACAGTATGATGGGGTTTGGGGGAGGGACGAGCTGATGTCTGGGAGGACCTATGAACTTGCTCCCTGCCTTCACCTCCTCAACTTTTTGCTCCCTAGTCTCCATCCTTGTCTGTCTTTGCTCTTCAGCTCTTGAGCCAGGCTTTCCTAGGAATAATCAGGAGTTGGGGGCCGGATGGGCACACAGTTGGTATACCCTCTTACAGTCTCACACCAGCTGTTTACAGCCATGACTGCTCTGATTGCTCAGTGCCATGCCATACTTGTTATTATATACGTTTTAACATCTTCTCTGAGTACGGGAAATGAGGTGGTGTGGCCTCAGGAGGACGGGAGATGGAGATACTGACCTTCCAAACAGGAAGTACCATCCCCACAGCGAAGAGCCTGAGCACCAGGGGTAGTGCTGCATATTTGCCCTTTTAAGGGGTGGCCTGTTTGACAGCTCCCCACTATGCTGATGTTCCTGAGGGTGCCCTACTCCCAGTGACTCTTTCTTAAGTCTGTTAGGGCCCCACTTGAACATCGAAGACTAAAACCACAGGCTCTCAGCTGGAACCCATGTAGCTTTACAGCATAGATCAGAAAATTGAGGTCAAAAGAGGAAAGGTCTTCTCTGAGGTCACACAGCTAGGGACAGAGTTGGGATTGAAACCCAACGCCAGTGTTCAAGCTGAGGTCTAGAGCTTGTCTTCCCACGTCAGCGGCCCCTTTCCCCATCTTGCCCTAGCTCCACCCCCACGCCCCATTACTTCTCTCCACCAGAGAAGACCAATCTCTGCAGCTTAGTTTAGAACTATCTCCAGTCCTGAAGAAGCTGTCCAGGCCGGAAGAGGGTTACGGAGATCCTGAAGACTTCCTTCTTCTCCACTGTGAGGAGGAAGTCTTCCGCCCCCATTTCTCGCCCATCCTGTTCTTAGGCCTCCTTCACCTCAGCAATTTTCCAAGTCAGATGACTGGGATTTGACTTCTGGCTTTGCCTTCCCAGCTGGGTGACCTGGGAGCACATTTCTCAGAGCCTCAGGTTCTATGACACCAAGATAATCACAGCAACTTCCTTGGTGGGCTTCAGTGAGAGTCAGTGCAGTAATGTAGATAAGATGTCAGAGCACACTAGGGCACTCTCTAAAGGAGGCCAGCACTGCTGTTGTGACTTTGTTATCATTATTGCCCAGCCAGGCAATGCTTACCCTGCTCAGACAGAGCCTGCAACCACAAGCCCTTTCCAGGCACAGCTGGGACCACCAAGGCCTGGCATTGTAGGAATCTGCCCAGCCTGATTTAAGAAGCTACCCAGCTTTGCCTTTGGCCACTGGGGAGTCTGGACCTGAGGGGCTGGGCTTTTCTTCAGGCTCTAAGCTAGCTCTTGTTGGAAGGGGAAACCGTCGTTCCTGATGCTGGGCAGGGAGTGGAAAGGTGAAGGGGGCCAGAGTGTTCCTTTCTGCAAGATCACTTCACAAAGAGAAGCAATGGAGGTGCCCACCTTGAGGAAAAATTGAGGAGCAATATGGAAAAATGAGAAGCAACAATAGAACAAAACCCAGTGGACTTAAACCCCAGCAGAGGGATTCAACCCGCCCCTACCACCACCCACCTTTCTGTCCGTGAAAATTCACTGAATACCAACACCTCCGTGCACTCTACATCCTGTCTCCTTGCCCCCTCCTCTTCTCCCTGTGGGATCAAGGTCTTCCCAAGCCTGTGGGTCCCTAAACACAGACTAACTGGCCTAAAACAGCAAACCATCAATGAGGAAATAGCCTTCCTGTGAGGACTATAAGGCCCCCTTCGAGGGTCTCCTCCAGTCCCCCGGCTCCTGCCAGACTTTATCTCTTTACTCACATCCTTCTACATCATGGAGAACACATACCTAACTCAGGAGATGGGGGCTAGTCCCAGCTCTGGCACTATCCAGACGTGGGTCAGGGGGCCACAGTTTTAGCCTCTCTGAGACTCAGTTTCCTCTCTGTGCAATGGCAGGGCCTGGTCAGCCATACTGTTTGGCTGCATCC